TAATTATCCTGATTATCTAAACCCTCTAAAAATGGAATTAAATTATTTTTTAACACTTTCTTATATATCACAGCTGTTACCCTCTCTTCTAATTTTACTAATGGACTAAGATTATGTTTTGCGAAACATCCTCACATCATTACTCCTTGTTAACCCGACTTTACTGTAAGAATTAAACACTTCACATCATACTTTTCATGAGGCCGCCTTCAAACCCACCTTCTACCATTTCCTCTAAACACTTCAAACTTGAATTTATCACTCCAAATGATACTTTTCCATTCATTTACCTATTCTTTTCTTTCTTTAGCCCAAGCAAGTCTTTTTTGTTTATTTTATTCACTTACGAAAGGTTTTCTTACACAAACTTGATCATAGAAACCTTGTTCATAAAGGTAAGTGCTTAAACTTTTTTTACTAACTTTTGTTGAAGTGGAATTGACAAATTCTTCATGTAATTCCTGAAGGTTCATTTTTTTATTTTCTTTAAGAATTCTTGTCAAATGATGACCATCTCTTTCAATCATTATAGGTGGTCTACCAGTTCTAGGAGTAAGTATTTCGTCTTCACAAATTTTATAAGCAGAAATAACATCATAAATGATACTTTGGGGATGGTTTAAAGCTTTGCTAATCTTTCTTTCGCTTATTCCACATTTCCAAGCACCAACGACTTCATCACGTTTAAAAATGAAAAGTTCTTTTCTTTTAAAAGCCATGTTTAAATAAGAAAGATTTTAGTAATACATGGCAAAAAACTAGAGGTGTATTAATAAGAAAATGGCTGAGATAACAGGTTTTAAAGATAAACAAATAATAATCAATAATCACGTGACCAGTGACTTCTTACCAGACACTGTATATAATTTTTAACTTTATTTTAAACTAATAAAATTATATAATCAAATTCTATATCTATTATTTAATTTTAATATATAAAGTATTATAATAATTTTAATATAAAAAAATATATTATACATGTATTTATTTAAGATTTTTTTAATATAAGTTTTAAAAAACTTTTATTTAATTAATTTTTTACTTTAAATATTAAATTTCTATAAAGTTTTAAATTTAAATAAATATCTAATATAATCAGCAATTAATCAAAAATGTTAATATAAATTATATTACATTGATATTAAAGTTCTGAATAGTTTGAATTAATCTAAAGATTTTTCAGATCAGTCAGTTCAGATCAGTTTCAGATTGCATAAAAATCAATCTGAAAATTTTCAGTTCATTTCAGATTTTTTTCAGATTATAATTCTAATCTAAACTGAAAAAAATTTGAACTGAACTGATAATTTCAGATTAATCTGAAAGTTCGGTTCAATTATATGTGAAACTCTTGGAAGATTACAAAATTTGCGAATTCTCTAAGAGAATTGCAAAAATTTAGCGAAACTCTTAGAGAATCACAATTTTTTGCAGTTTTTCTTCGAATTTCACAAAAAAATTGTGAAAATCTTGAAGAATCGCAATTTTTTGTGATTTCTCTTAGAATTTCGCAAAATTATTGTGAAACTCTTAGAGTTGCAAAAAATTGTGATTTCTCTTCAAATTTCACGAATCTCGAAGAAAAATTTGTGATTTTTTGCGATTCTCCTAGAGTTTCGCATATAAATTGCGAATTCCTTATATAATCAAACTGTAATTTCAGATTAATCTGAAAATTCCAGTTCAGTTCAGATTTTTACCAGTCTGCAGTTCAGTTCAGATTCAGATTAGCATTTTTAAGATTAATAATCTGAACTGAACTGAATTGAAATTTTCAGTTCAAATATGGATTGGCATCTAATCTGGACTGAACTGAACCGTTCAGAGCTTTAATTGATATATATGAAAAATAATATTAAGTAAAATTTTTATTATAAGTATATTTTATTAAATAAAATATAAGTTTAGTATAATATAAAATATTTAAATTTTTATTAATAAATAAACTATATTTTAATATATTAAATTTTTTTATATAATAATTATAATTTTTAAATTTAAAATTATTTATTTTTAATTTAATCTTTAGATATTAAAATAAGTTTTTTAAAATAAAAGCATAAATTAATTTTTATTAAAATAATTATAGATATATAATATTTAATTTATTTTTACAGTCAACTTTTGATATAGCGAACTCTTGATATAACGAATTTTTTGAACAAATATAATAAAAATACTTTTGTTATAACGAATTGACCAATTAAATCTCTTAAAATCTTCACTATAGCCTTATAGTGAAGTTGAGATTTAGGATATAGAGTTCGTTATAATAAGAGTTAACTATAATTATAAAATTAATAAAAGGATTTTTATTATCTAAATTTCTTTAAATATAATATAATTAGTTTAGAGTGAAATGAAAGACTTTATATATTAGCCATATATTACACAAGGTATTTTGTTATTTGCTCACTCAATAATTGAATCAATACTGATTGATTTTTACAATATTTTTTAGTTAAGATTATTCTGAACTTAACAATAATTTCTGAAACTATTTTTTAGTTAATTATAAAAATTATTTAATGATTTTTATATCTAAATCTTATTTAATATTTCTTATATTAAATGTATTAGATAATTATTTAAATATTTATTTTCATTTTTTCTTACCCGAATTTTTTTTATAATATTTTAGTATTTTTATCTGCTTAAGAAAAATCAGTTAAAATATTAAAAGAATCATATTATTATCTTTTATTTATTTTATCTATTATTATATAAATTTTAAACTATTTTATAAAAGTTTTACCTATTTTAATTCTTTTTTATAAGTAAATAATTTCTATTAATTTAATGATTTTTTTTTTAATGATTACTAATTATATTTTTCAATTTTTTTATATTTTATTAATATATGATAAAATATATTTAAAATAAAAAACTATTAAATAATATTAAAAATTGTTAATTTTTTATTACTATTTAATTTATATATATTTTCAGAAAGGTTTTTATCTTTTAGAAATTGAGCATCATTTAATTTTTAGAAATTGAAAAATAGTAATAACTTTAAGATCAATAAACATTTTTTTTTTATTTAAATTAACTTGCTGTATAATATTCACTTTTTATATCAAACATTTTGATTTTTTTTCCTTTTTTTTTTTTGAGACTAAAGATAAAGATTAGTTTAATAATTTAGAAGACATATCAGATAATTTAAAAATTTATAGTAGCAATCTAATGGTAATATTTATAATATAAAGTTTTTGTAAATACCGTAATTCCTCTCGGTTTGTAATTCTAACCGAAATTAAGAATTTGTAAATATCACATGAACCTTATAATGTCCACATGATATGATGTCCAAAATTTTTTTGAATTAATTCGCTTCAACTTGCTAAATTTTTTTTTTTCACTTTGAAGAATGACTTCACAAGCTAGGAAGGTTTGGTCAATCTCTACTAAAGGTACATTTGCAAATTTAATATTAGAAGATGATATATTACCACCACCGCCGCCAAAGCATTTAAGGGTTCAAGTCAAAAGTATAGGATTAAATTTTGCTGATATTTTTGCAATATTTGGCCTTTATTCTGCTACACCTAAAGGAAAATTTATACCAGGATTAGAATTTAGTGGTATAGTTGAAAGTGTAGGAGATGGTATTGAAGAAAGTGAATGGTTAGGCAAAAGAGTATATGGTGCTACAAGGTTTGGTGGGTATGCCACTTATTTAAATATTGAAGAAGAATATGTTAAGCAAACTCCTGATAATTGGACCGATCAACAGGCCGCTGCTTATGTGGTAATTAATTAAAAGAATTTAATGTTAAATATATGATTATTAAAAAGATTTTTTAATAATTATTTTTTTTTAAAAAATAAAATAAATAAATTAATAATAAAAAAATTTTCAAGGTTCAAGCAATGACTTCATTTTATGCTCTGACAGAATTAGGTAGAATTAAAGAGAATAAAACAGTGTTGGTTCATTCAGCGGCGGGAGGATGTGGATTATTAGCACTTTCAATATGTTCAAAATATGAAAATGTTAAAGTTGTGGGTACAATAGGCAACCCTTCTAAACTTAATCTACTTAACCAAAAATATGGAGATAATGAAAACTTTACATTTATATTGCGTGAGCCCTCAAATGATTTTGAAAAAAGAGCAAGGCAAGCTTTATTACGGATGGGATTACAAGAACAAGATGGTTATGATATTATCTTGGATAGTGTTATGGGTAAATGGTTTTGGTCTAATTATAATCTGCTAGCTAAAGAAGGCAAACTGGTTTTATTTGGTTCCGCTAGTTTTACACCTATTGGTAATTTACACCCTATCTGGAATATGTTTGAATGGTTAAAATTAGGTTGGAAATATATTTGGAGACCTAAAATTGATCCAATGGAAATTTTACAAGGAAATAAGTCGGTAAGCTATAATTTGAAATCTAGTTATTTGAACATACATACACTTTTTAAACACTTGATCGTTCTATTTCGTAGCTTCTTGGATTTAATTTAATTCATATTTATGAACGAGCTGAGAGATTAAATCAGATTTTTAATGATATGCAATCTTTACAACTGGAAGCTCCTCATGTTGGCCATGAATTTGAATTTGATCAACTTGTAGAAGCTTTAACCTTACTTCAATCTGGTAACACTGTTGGTAAAGTTATACTTAGTGTTAATGTTTAATGGTATTGAGTTTATTTCTAATAAAAATTTTTTACATATTATCTATTTTTTTTTTTTTAAAAAAAAAACTAAAAAAAAAAAATATTATAATTATTTGTCAAAATAATTATAATTATGAAATATAAATTTCCGAGAGTATCTGTCCATAAAAAGAAAAAATCTTTTAGGTTCAAAAGGTTTTTTTAAGGGCATCTGACGTATATTAGAGAACCTTAGTTACATATCTTACTAAATAAGCGATAATATTTTCTAATATATGTCAGATAGATATCATATAAAATAAAATAAAACAAAAAAAAAAAAGTCCAGTCGTTAATCGACCAACCAAGAATATACCAATTTCTTATTTTATGCAACTTTTTCTTCATTACATTCGGTTTTGCGTCTCCAGTAAACTCGCTTTGATATACAAAGCAAACTGTGCTGTGGGTTCGTCTTATCAGCGACGATTACTCCGACAACGTTCCATGTCATTTCTCGCAATTCTAAATCATCACGGAAAATTTCATCCAAATGAGATTTTTCAAGAGGAAAGGTTGTTGCCACTTGGTCTTTGAAAATTGTTCTTGTTCCTAAATACGTATTAGATGCCACAATAGCAAAACGGTATTTTTTCCGTTCAGCATCATATGAGATCTCGTATCTAATTTAACAAAAATTATTTAATTATATATTTGTTATACTGCAAAATCAGTGATCAGACTATTACTTACCGTTCCTCATCATTTTCAAGATACAAAACGTTTGTTTCAAGTTGTTTTCGAAGTTCTTCTTCGTCCATCATCATATGTTGGTTGTATTTATAACTGAAAAGGAAGATAATAAATATATATTATATCAAGAGAATAAACTATTTAAACAGTCATAACCATAAGACATTACCAAGGATCTTCTTCATTGTTGAAGACAAGAACGGATGTATCGTAGGAACTACCAAAAATTTCACCAAATGCTCGTTTTTTCATTTCGTGAAATTTTCGCAACCGTTCCTTTTTTCCTTTGCCTCTGGATCGGCCAATAGCTTCTCCTTTCTGTAGAAATAAAAAATTATTAATAACTACGACAATTCAAGGGGAATATGAAAATCTTACCTTCATTTTGCAAACTCTTTCAATCTTGTAACTCACACCATGATGATTTCCCCATGAGCGACTTTTATATCCATCACGTACAGTTGAAGTATACTGGACTAATTTAGGCAAAACACGGATCGTAACACATAAATCATGATCAGGATAATCAGGAGTCCATTCAGACAAAGACGGAGGAGGTGTATAATGGCCAGTATGGATAAGTACTAAAATAAAAATTAGCAAATAAATTAATTTAATCATTAATATGCACAAAAAAAAAATTGAATTCAATAATTCGATAACAAGCGGATACCTGCTACAACGTCTGAATCGTCAGTATAGACATCTGTACCCCATAAAGCGTTCGTTCTGACTTTCTCATTAAGCCAAGTCAAATATTTCGACTCGATCCATATTTCCAATAGTCCATTTTCATGAAACTCAAGAGGAGGTAAAATCTCTTTTGAATTGTAGATCAAATGACCTAAATTGAAATGAGAGATTTCAATAAATAAAAGGTAATTTTCATTAAATTAAAATATTTCTTGATCATTTATTTTGTATTTTATTATTAACTCACCTAAATGACGCTCCTCTCGACCTTCCATATTTAAAGTCTCGTCATTTTCAACGATTACTTGTGGCTCGTCATGATAATCATATTCATGAGCAACATAATCCTGCGTTGCTTCCTCATCTACCTCATCCATCTCATACCTTTCTTCCTCTTCATTCTCGTATCCGCCTTCATTTTCTCCTTCAATTTCGACTTCGATTCCGTCACCCTCTCCATTTTCATTGGATGAATTCTCAACAATATTATTTTCTCTCTCCATCCGTCGCATCCTATGCATATTTTCAATTTCACTCATACCTTCAATAATAGGTTGAACTAACTTAAGAGGCGTGGGCAACGAAGGAGAGGACGAAGCTTTGATAACAGGACTTGTATTCAGCGGAGTACGATAATCGAGCGGAGTATGATGTCGATTCCCAATATTATTATTTCCCGAGGCAATCTCGTTACTATTTGTATCAATCCTAACGAATGTATCTTCTTCATTTGATAGAATAGCCGATACTGACATCGGATTTACTGAAGGCGCAGTCTGTTGAATGAAATTATTTAAGGGAGGTAATGAGCATAAAGAATCAATCGGAGGTAAATCATGATTAAAAATTGGCCTAGGTGAACTAATGGATAAATTTGTTGAATTCGTAGTGGATAATGGAGGTAAGATTGAAAAGTTGCTACTTTCATGTATTGATGAAGGAAAGGGTGGTTTGTATGATGAGTAAGAAGTTGAGGCGTTTGTCGGTGGAAAAGAAGAAGAAATTGGCGGTAAAGTCAGTCTGATTCGTTTAGCTAGGTGATCAGATACGTTATTAGAGTCGGATAAAGGTAATGGGGACTCTTCTAATAAAGGACGTTTATGTGCAGGACGTTCCATTTTCAAAAAGGATTGTTTAGCAGTATTATCCTTTCAAATGAAAGATATTTTGATATACAGAAAATGATGAATGAAGAAAGCAAGATTCAAAATGATTCAAATGGAAATAAGGAAATAAATGGATCAACTCTATTAGACAAAGCGTCGATCATTTTTTTTAAAAATGCTGATAACCGGATAAGGAAATGGTTACAATTTTAATTTTTTCAATGAAAATCAGACCAATGACATTCAAGCATCACTGAACTTTATCAATGTGATAATGATAATTTGATCATCCTTGGATCCTTTGTTTTGCCGAAGTATTTTGTTCCACTATAGCCGCAGTCTCGCAAGTGCAAAGGTCAAATTTACATGGGATAAAATAACTTTGTCCTGGAAACGGCGTGTTAAAATGAAATCGCATGATTAATGACTCTTATTTGTCACTCCAATGCATATTGTAAATAATTCTTGTAAAAGTATAGGTGTTAAACTGTTATAATTTATGTAGTGATATTTTCAAATTCAACAAGTAAAAAACGAATAAGTTTGCGTGTAAATGTATAGACCTTGTCATAAATAAACGCGAAAAATAAACGCGATTTGTCTTAAAAATGAAAAAAGCTTTTTTTGCTATGCAGACAAAGTGAACACGATGCAAAAATTTTCAGGGGCAAATCATAACTATTCTGTGTCTTTAGATAGGGGTCTTCCTGGTATAATTATTACTTTAAATAATCGATCAACATTGATTTTATGATATTTTTTCTAAGAAAGTAATCTTTTGTTAGCTCGAATTAAGGTGTTACAAAAAAAATTTTATTCTCCTTTAAATATCTATCTAGTTATCATTTCTATTCTTATTTCGGATATATGAAACCTGTTGACATTATCGTTAACTAAAAAGATATTACAAAGTATAAAGAGATCTTTTTAAATGCGTCAAAAAGGTTTAACTTATTTACATATTCAAACTTTTATTGGATTATTAAATTAATTAAATTAATTATATTTAATAAAAAAAATAAATAAGACAAAGTTTTATATTTAATTTATATCTTATTTTTAGAGCTTAATTATTTGTCTTGATCTAATTTGAGTAAACATTATTATCTATTAATTAAGATTTCTTTTAGTGAGCTGAATCTAAATAGTAATTTTTTTTTTTATAAATTTTGACTTATTTATCAAATATTAAATCTTTTCTAATATTAATGTATAAAAAAAATTGCTATTTTAATAATCATTAATCCTAAAATAATTTTTTATGCTTATTTGGATTTCTCTTAATAGGTAAATATATGTAATTATTTATAAAGTTAAAGTATAAATTGATCAAATTAATAAATTTTCAAATTTTTATAATTAAAAATTTCAAATCAAATTAAATTATATAAATCAAGTTAATTTTATAAATTTAATCTAAATGTTCTGAATAGACTAAATATTAAATTTTTTTATCAATATAGGTATTTTGTTAACATCGACTTTGTCAATGAGCAGTGTAAGAGACAGTCCTGAGTTATTGATACATCTATCTAAGATGATAAGCTTCCTTTTTCTCAAAAAAATAAAGTCGATTATTTAGTAGAAAGAGAAAAAACTTCAAAAAAAATTTTTTTGAATTAATATTAAATTTTGAATTTTTTTACTAAAAATCATATTTAATTTATAAATAAATAAATTTTTTTAGTATTTTCTTTTCTTCTTTTCTTTTGCAAAGTAAATAATTTAATTAATTTATAAAAGTAATTTTATAAATACATAATTTAAATATAAAGAATATATAAAATAAAATTTATTATTTCTTAAAAAAATAAATATAAATTTGTTTATAAATATTTTATAAATTTAATCCTTTATAAACTAATTAAAAAATAATAAAAATAAGCCAACAAAATTTGCTCTTCTTTACTGAAGAATAACTAACAACAATATCTTGCCAAAAAACAGTTTATTGAAATTTTATAACTAAAAATCTCAAACATTAATAAAAGTATTTTTAAAAATATAATTGAAGATATAAAAGTTGAAATATTTCTCACTTTACCTCTTGATAAAAGAAAAAGTTTAGAAATTAATATTATTATCAATAATATTCTATTAGATGAAGATCAAACTTTTGATGCTTTTAAAAATATTTTTAATGTAAAAATAATAATAAAAGTAGTATTCATCTAGAAAATGATACTGAAATCCTAATTTACTTTGCTTATTATGCTATAAAAAAATTAAATCAAATAGAGATAAATAAAATAATATATATAATATTTTTGCATTACATTACTCACCTTTTATTAGTATATTCATTCGCAGTTATTCTAATAATTTAATAAAGAAAATTATCAAAATTGATTTTACTTTACATATAAAAACAAATAATGCAATTGTACTTAGATTACCTTATTTAAATAATGTCATATTTTTACTATTCATAACTAAACTAGTTGTTAAATATATCTTTAAATTATAAATTTATCTTACAGAAAGTCTGATTTTGACTACTAAGTTAAATATCAGATCAATCTTCTTCTTTTTAAAAAGATTGCTTATTGTGTTATAACAACAAAAAATCTTTAGTAATAAAATACTCTTATCTATAAATATAATACTAATATAACTATTTGAATAAAACTTAATAGTTACTTTATTTTTAAAGATCTCATTTGAATTTATCATTATTATTATACAATAGTAATTCAAAATATCAGGAAAAATTTGCACTTTCTTTAAAATTTATAAACTCTCTTCTAATACTAATAAATATCACTTTATTTTTATTAACAATGCAACTGCAAATTATAGAAATTTACAATATACTATATTCTATTTTAAAGATAAAGAAGTTATAAAAGCTATGAAAAATGGTAAATTATATTACCTAAATAGAAAATGCTTAATCTAAACAGATTCTAATACTAAACTATATTTTATTTGTTAGGTTTTAAAATATTAATTACAAAATCATTGTAAAACTACTTTATTTTATAAAATTACTAAATCTAATATTTATATTAACGTTTAAACCTAATTAATTTCATAACTATAAGACTTTAGTTAATATATCTAAACCTTCTTCTTCAAAAAAAATAATAATATTTAAATACTTATTTAATAACTTAAAAAAATACTAAAAGATTTAATTTATTAATCTACAAGTTCTAAAAACCCTATCTACATTCTAAACCTAGTAATTTTCATAATCAATAAATAAAATTCCTAACTGCTCTATTAATGATAGAGTAAAGAAACTTTTAATATTAGTATTTATATATTTCATATATAGCAGATTAAATAAATAAAAAATAATATCAAGTAAAATATAAAGATAATCAATCCTTCTAACTTAGATTGTTAACTAAAATTTTGAATCAATTTACTACTATCTTAGAACAACTTACTAAAATAAATAAAGATCTACATTTTACTATAAAGTATATTATGATAATTAAAAAGTCCTAAATATTGATACATTATTTCTTCACTAAACAGATCTCTTCAATAAAAACTTTACTAAAGATAACATAAAAACTGAAAAGAATACATATATTACTAGTTTTAATATAAATGATAATATTATTAATAAATAATTATTGAGCTCTTATACTAGATGGTTGAGCTTACTTTAATTTAATTTAGAGTAGGTTAATTTAGAATAGTATAGGATTAATTTTAATTTAATTTTATTTTCTTGATTAGATAAAAATTTTTATATTTCTCTTTTGTAATTTATAATTTTATAAAATATTACTTTACTTTAATAAAGATTATGCAAAACTATTATATGTTAAAAAAACTTAATCCTTTAATAATATTATAAACAAATTATCTGCAATTTTATTTAATAATATAATTCATTTTTAATTATTTTAAATATTTTTAAAATAATTTATTATAAAATTATTATTTTTATAATAATATATATGATGATTTTATAAATAAAAATTTAAAATAATATAGTTAAAAGTACTTTATCATTAAAATAATCAAACTTATTTTTTTACTTAATAGCATTAATTAATTCTTTAATAAATGTATTTTATTTTTATTTTTATTCTTCAGTTTGAGATTTAACACATTTATTTAAAATTAAATTATCATTCTTACTATTATTATTATGATCAGTTCTTTAAAATACTTATTGAGTGATAAATAAAGTAATATTTATTAGTGATAAGCAGAAGGTATATTTTGTAATTAAATTTAGAAGAGTGTCAGTCAATTAACAATTTATTTAATAATGATAACAATAGAGTACTGCTCCAGTTAGTACTCTGTATTATACAATTATATTAAAAAATTAAACTAAACTATTTAATAAAACTATGAATTAGACACACCACTAAATTAAAAAAAAATATTCTCTATTTATATAATATAAAATATATAAAATTATCAAAGATATAAAAAAAATAAAATAAAATAAATAAAAGAAATATAATATATAAAAAAAATATTTATTATAGATAACATAGATAATATAAAAGACATATATGATTTCTTAGAGATTGATGTTATCCTTTAGATCATTATCATCTATATCTTCTTTTATGTAATATTATCTTAATTTCTTTTTTTTATATTATTATTATTATCACACTAATTTGTAAATTATTAACTATTGGTATTACTATATATAAATGCTTAACTTTAGTATCTAATTCCTTTGCTTTTTTTAATAATAATAAAGTACATCACTTTAGATTTAATTCATTGCTAATACTTTTTTACTTTATAAATATTAATAGAATAATGATTATGATTAAAATTTCTAATATAATTAATATAAATATATACCTTTAATTTATTTCATCTATTTATATAAAGAAAGTTTATATTACTTTAAAGCCTTTCTATTGATATTAAATTACATAATTACCATAAATATATATTGTAAATTTTGTAAATTTTAGATTAATATCAGCTATAGAATTCTAATAATTTATTAAATTATCTTTAAATTGTAAAAATATTTTAAAGTTATAGAGATTATCATCTTATTTATAAAAAATTATTTT